CCCCACACAGTGTTTGTTACTATGGCAGCTGTCAGGAAAACGCGATGACATCATTTACAAACATCTCCATCTCTAGCATCTGTGACCTTTGCTGTACGTCACTGTGGTCCACTGGGAGCTACGGCATATGCTTAAGAAGAATCTATCTATTCCTGTCTCAATGGGGAGTAAAAGGAGGAGGCAAAGTTCGATGCTCTCAGGAGTCTGTATTTATGAATTTCCAATGTTATTCAGAACACTACAAACTTGAGCTTTGAACAAGGGAAGAAAACCGTCATTGTTGGCTTACATTGGCCATTTTCCTTCAGTTTTGATTTCCTGGTTCCTTTCTAGATACTAGTTTAGACAACAGGGTATTTATTTCTCATGAAAAAAAAAAAAGAAAAAAGACAAAATAAACGCTATTTAAGAATACTATTTGTAGTCTTGTTAAGATATTTTTAGAGGGATAATAAAAAGAACATTTTAGGCACTCTGCCATTTTACAAAGTAAAATTGATATTAAAAGGTTGAACTCAGGCTAGAGTTGGCTCAGTGGTTAAGAGCGCTGGCTGTTCTTCCAAAGGACCTCGGTTCAATTCCAAGCACCCACATGGCAATTCACAACTATCTGTAGCTTCATTCTGAAACACATATATGCAGGCAAAACAGCCATACACATACAATAAACATAAAATAAAAATAAAGTAAGTTAAACTCTGTGCTTCTGCATCTATTGCAAAAACAGTGAGGAGGCTTTATAACCTCCCAACACCTTATGACTCTCTAGGATAAAAATGTTCTCAAGTCCTGTTCTCTGTGGCCTCAGAAAGGGGGGTGGGAAAAAAGTGAGCTATTAGCACTCTGAAAAGTTGTCCCTATCTGTCCATAGAAGAGGAGACAGAAAGAATGTTAGAGCCAGAGACGGAGGACACCAGGAGAACAAGGTCCTCTAAATCAATTGAGCAAAGCGTATATGAACTCAGAGACTGAGGCAGCAAGCACAGGGCCTGCACAGGTCTGCACCAGGTCCTCTGCGTGTACACTGTGGCTTTCAGCTTACTGTTTTTTTATGGGATACCTGAGTGTGTGACTGTGTAGGTCTCTGATTGTGTGCCTCATCTTGGGGCTCTTTTCTTTCTGTTGGTTCGTGTTGTTCAGCTTTAATGTGATGCTTTTTGTTTTATCTTACTGTCTTTTATTATGTTGTGTTTGTTGTTATCTCTTAGAAGCCTGTTCTTGTCTAATGAGAGACAGAAACAGAGTGGACCTGGTTGGGAGGGGAGGGAAGGGGAGAAGGAACTAGTAGGCATAGAAGGGGAAACTGGAGTCAGAATATATTATATGAAAAAAAAAGAAGCTACTTTTAATAAAATGGGGAAAAAGAAAAAAAAGTCCCTGTCTCAAAAACTGAGATTGCCATGCTATTGGTGGCCATGATTCATGTCCCTAGGTTACATAAGCCCCTCCCATTGGTACCAATGTCCTATGCCAATGCCTAATGCCTATAGACTACATAAGTCCCTCTTACACTGGTTTAAAAATCTTTGAGTCAGCAGTTACACTTTGTAGAAATCAGGCTTGTATAAAGATACACTACGAATTAACACTATCCACATCTCAGAGCCAACACCATGCAATGTGTTGCTGCATGGATTCTGTAAATGCCTACAGCTGTGACTCATGGGCCTCTCACAGAATGTTAGCTACACGCCTGTAGCCACCATATAACTTCTAAATAAAATTTGAATTCACTTTAAAATATACCATAACTGGTTAACTCGGCTTCCACCTGCTCACCTGACTCTAAAGGGCCGAGCCCTTTGAGAGATGAATGTGACATTTTCCAGCCTCCTGGATCCCAAAGAAAAAGAAAGGCTTGAGAAGCAAATGAAATTTAAAAAGCTCATTTTCATGGCCTTCATTTTGAGTGTAGGGCTATTTTTATCTTTGTTTTTAGCAGCAATACCATGCTGCCTGTAGTCTCGAGCATTTCTGGGGAGGCAAGCACAGGACCCAAGGCACAGCTGTCCAATTTACATTCACAAATGCAGGTGTTGCTCAGACACAAAACAGAGGTCGGCTGAATACTGCTCCTAATTATCTACCTTGTCTGAGGGTTTTCCTTTGTAAAGTTATGCGTGCAATTTGGGTTCAACTTGGCGGTCATTTTTAGATCCCAGCATGCTATCCAGCAAGAAATGGGCTGTCATTATAAAGCATAATTTACAGCATAGTTAATTTTACATTTTAAAAAACATCTACTCTATACCTAAGACAAAACTCTATTCTGTACATGCATTTTTTCGCTGTCTTCCATCTCCTTGGTATTTAAAAACATGGTAAAGGGAAACTTGTTATGTAGAAATGGGAAGACTTTCTAAGATGAAGTCCACAGCTCTAATGATGAAAACTAAGCAATTTGTTAAACGATACAAGAAGAGACGTAGCTACCTGCCACTGTCTGCAGTTGGGAACACACTGGGGGTTGTAACAGCAGTTCTTAGAAACGGCCGGATGCAGTGCTGGGATCTAATACAAGCCATTAGGAAACCTAATCCCTAAATGAAATGACCACAAAATCCTATCAGTTAACAGAAATGCAGCAGCTGTGCATGTTTATAGTAATACAATAGGATATTGTTTCAGAGATAACACTCGGGCAAAAAAACCAGAACCCAGCAGGTAACGTAAGACCTTTATTTCTCTATTTGGAGAAATTGAACAGGCAGAGCTTTGGAATACATAAACAGGAGAGAAGGCGAGAGAAGGCAGGTCGTATGTACACTAAGGGGCTACAGAGACCAGCAGGCAAAGTCACAGGCTAGGTCAAACCATAGCAACTCCCCAGGTTTGCAAGATGCTAGAGACTCATCCCAGGAGCTCTTCACGATGAGTGGGCCTTGCCCCACCTCTGACTGTGCCTCCTATAAGTTCCAAATACTGTCTTACCCTGACTCCTGTTAAGCTGTTAAGTTTCAAACCCAGAACAAACTGCTGAAGTATCTATTTAATATACCAAAGCAGACCTGGCCTCCAAGTTTTCCCAGCATCCCTCAGTCCCTACCTATTTCAGGGTATGGCTGCCATACCCCCGCCCTCTACCCTGAACGTGGCTCTTCTCTATGTAATCCAGACATTTTGGTTTTCTACCCCTTTTCCTTTTGCTCTCTTTGTACCTTTGGCCTTCTGGCTCCTGCATTTGGCTACCCTCTCTTCCTTCCCCTCCCTCTCTTCCCTCATGGTCCAGGGTCATGACCACCCCGGACTCTCCCACATGTGTCTGCCTCTGCCTATGCTCTCCCACACATCTGTAATAAACTTTCTCTTCCACCATCCCTAGGACCAGTTATGTCCTTTCCTTTTTATTTAATTTTTCATTCAATTCTCATTAGCCATCTTTCAAAAACGCATGATATGGAAGCTTATAATTCAATTTGATCTTAAACTTTATCACTAGATTTTAAAAGCATATACATATGCTTTTAAAAATCTGTATACACACACACACACACACACACACACACACACACACACACACTATATAACAGTGTATTCTGGACTGCTTTTCCAGAGGCGTCAGATGCCTTTCCTCAAAGGCTGACTACAGAGTGTAAGTGGCATTACTAGTGTTGTGATACTGCATCTGTCTTGGCCTTATTCTCTACCAGCAATCCATCAGGATTTAGATCCTTGACCCTTCAGACTTGTAGAATGACAAAAGGCCCTGCTCTACAATCATATTCTGCTGAGGAATGCAAAGTATTTTGTTGTTATAAGTAGAGCTTTTAAAAAGAAATTGCTAGGCTCACTCCTAGGACTGTTATTCTCAGTGTTCAGCACTCAGAATGGGAGCCCCAGGCTCTTGGGGATCATTCTAATCCCCTCCGGAGGGAAAGTGAACCCTACTCTTGACTGTCCCCAAAGATGTCCAGACAATTTCCTCACTTGCCTCCTAGTTCCAGTGACAATCATGAGCCTAATTCTTAGAGACTGCTACTAAAATTCCAACTCGTTGAATTCTGCAGCCTGATTCTTCAGGCATTGTGGTTTCTGGCAGAATGAATATGACCCAAATTTTCAGGAGAGCATTTGCTGCAATGGTGCTTGCATTGCAGCAAGCCATGATTAGCATTCAGGATTGCAGACGGTAGACTTTAAAAATGCAAGTTCTTGCTTCCAGAATGGACAGGTTTTTATCTTGTATTACAGAAAGGGAAAGGCAACTGCTTAGCAAAATGTGGATGGTTTCATGAAGTAAGAAGCTTTACAAATCAGTGAGAAATAATCAACGGCTAGAAATGGACTTCAGTACTTGGTGGCAAATGGCTTTAGTAAGTCCTTAAGAATTGGGAAGTTTGTGTGCCTATGTGCGTGTGCGCTTGTTAAAACATCAGGTATCCCATTTCCTGTCAAGAATGGCTAATACTATTCTAAAAGTCCATTTTTGGACCTACACTGTCTTTTAAAAAAAAAAAAGTCAAAACTGTACTATGGCTCTTCCTGGGATAATCCATTACCCTCATGACTAAGCAGTGTTAGCATATGTTTTCATCATGGCCCCTCCTGTCATGATCAATCAACTGGAACATCCTGGGTCAAGGGAGGTTTGACAATTTTCTGTCTTGACTAGACTCTGTGCATCAGGTTTTGGAAAAGCAGCAGCTATATCCCCGCAGTGTGTGTGGACTAAAGCCTCTCTCTGCGGCTAATGTCTGGCTCTCCTCTGGTGCTTCTCTCTGGTGGGCTCTGGACTGTGCCCTCCGGTTAGGGGACCAGCTGGGATTTCAGCTCTTGCTCAGGCTCACTCACCTCTCAGAACTCAAACACCAAGCCAAGAGAAATTGATGGTCAAGGTATGTTAGGATGGGGTTTCTTATTCCGAAAAGTTAAGCGTGGCAGGAAGAAATGGACAAAACAAAATAAGAACTACACAAGGGGCAGAGCACAGTGTGTCCAGCTAGGGCTAGGAGGCGCATGCGTACGCGAGGGTGGCCCGCGGCCTCTCTAAGGTGGCTTACCTTGTTTCTTTTGAAGTAGGCTCTTCGGCAGGCGGCAAAGCATTTCTCGCTGCAGAAGCTTTTCACCTCACTTCCCATACTCAGGGAATAGCGCTTGATCCCCACTTTCTGGCACCAGGCACACATTATTTGTACATTTGACACATCATCTTCTATAATAAAAGTATAAGAAAAACGTTCATATCAGAAGCAAACATCCCTTCATATTTAGACACACCCTGACCCTGACAGAGTTCCCGGGGTCTGCTTGCAATTTCCAGACCTCACCATTTTCTAATGGAGTTAGGACCACCAATCTCAGGGTGGGGGTGGAGCTGGAGCGGTAGGGGGCATTTGTTTGCTTTTCTCTTTAGGGGCTTGTGGGTGTTTCTGTTCTCAAAGGGCATTTTACTTAGAAACCAGAGAATGGTTACAAAGCTACAAGAATTCCAGGAGTGCTTAGCCTCCGTTCAATCTGCCTAGTCAAACCAGCCTGAGTGATAAAGGGAAGAATTTATAAAAATAAACAGCCCTTTTCCTCAAGGGTCCTATGGAAAGTCTTCAAAATGGGTAGTAGGTGGGGGCAATTTGGGCCTTGCAAACCTGCGTGTGCAATGCAGCGCCCTAGAGTGAACTTTGACAGTCAAAGAACCTGCTCCCATCATAGGTAAAAGAACACCACTGTTGTTTACTGTCACAACATGATTTCCAAGTCACGTGTTCAATCAAAAAAAGGAAATGTAGCAAATGGCCAAATTCTGGCAATGGGCAGCAGGCAGGCCTGGCTTACTGGCCATTCTCCTACAGTGAGCCTTCGAGCCCCGGTGACCTCAGAGAAGCACAGCCTCATTTAACTTGGCTCTGTTACTGTGGTCTCTGGGCCCTGGGAGAAGGAATGGAGCGTGAAGTGTGTGTATATGTATTGAGGTTGTGAGTGTATTCTCAGCCAGACTAGGGGGCGGGGGCATGTCCCTCAGCTCCTGGAAGACCCTCTCAACCATGTCAACAAGGGCGATCAGATGGGTTCTAGATGGTTTGCAAGTATTTCTAATATTCGAAATGCTACATTTCCTTTCCTTTCTGTGAGAAGGAAAATGTAACTAGCATAAGCTACCATGACTGTCACATCCATTACTGCTCAAGACAGATGGGCTGTTAAAGAGAGCAAAGGAATGAATTAAATTAAGCATACCAAGTGAACCACAGTGCAGAGTTAGGAGCTACAGGAAGGTTGGGCTGGTGACACTGAAATGACTGAAGCTTGGGAATATTGGTCTCTTTTAGGGAAATAAACAATGTTGGAAATTCTTAAAAATATTTTCTGGCTGCCTCCTGGGAGCTTTCAGTGTATCTTGAGTAGTGTTCTACTCTGTCCTCTCATTTGACTGTGTGTGTGTCTGCATGTATGTATACATGTGTGTGTCCAAGTGTGTGTGTTTGTACATGTGCATATGTCTGCATGTATGTATATGTGTGTGTCCAAATGTGTGTGTTTGTACATGTCTGAGTGTGTTTGTCTGAATGTCTAAGTATATATGTACATGTATGTGTCTACGTGCATGTGTATGCAATGTAAGTGCATTTTTGTGTATATGTATCTGAGTGTATATGTGCATTATGTGTGTACATGTGTGTGTGTATGTACATATGTTATTTGAGTGTGTACATGCATGTAGTGTATGTATGTGTCTGTATCTAAGTGTGTGTGTACATGTAAATGTGTTTTGTGTGTCAGTGTCTGTGTGTGTATAAACATGTATGTTTCTGTGTACAAGCCTGATTGTGTATGTGCATGTCTGTGTGTATGTATCTGTATTTGAGTATATATGTGCATTATGTGTGTATGTGGTACATATGTGTATGTGTGTTATCTGAGTTTGCATATGCATGTATGTGTGTATGTGTGTGTATATGTGTGTATGTACAATATGTTTGTGTTATGTCTGTGTATGTATATGCATGTATATGTATCTGAATTTGAGTTAATATGTGCATTATGTGTGCTCATGTGTTATCTGAGTGTGTGTGCATGTATATGTACATATGCATGTACATGTGTATGTTCATATGTGTACATGTGTATTTATCTGAGTGTGTATGTGTGTCATGTGTGTATGTGTGTGCATGTGTATGAGTGTGTATATGCATATATGTGTGTATGTGTGTATATGTTATGTCTGAGTGCATGTATATTGTGTATGTCTGCGTGTGTGCATGAGTGTGTCTGTACATGGGTGTGTATGTGTGCACATGTGTACCTCTAGTTGTCACTCTTAGCAGCAATCCTTTATAGACTCTGCTTTGCACCAACCCAGACTCATAATTCAGACATGAATGGGAATCAGAAAATCCCCAACAAACTCCGGTATAGTGTGTCTGACTTCTGAGAGAACCCCCCAAGACTAATTGCTAAGTGGGGCCTGCCCCTTGGGTTGTTGACATATCCATGGCTCATAGAGCCTGTCACAGAATCATTCCACTTCTAGGGAAACGATCTGGTTTGAGGCACTGTGGTCATCAGCCTGCAAAATTAGAACAAACTAATGTGTAATGCAGTGACAGGGCTTTTCTCCCCAAGTGTTCGCTCAGAGCCACAGGCAGCACTTTACTGTAACAGAATAAACGTAGTCATTTTAATAACGTGTACTTGTTGACAAATCACACACTGGAATCTATGACTCACCATCAAACAAGACAGTATAAAAGAGGACCTTTGATGTTAGTAAACATTTTTGATAACATAATATTTTTTAAATAAAGTCAATGATACGAATTCAAATGTAACATAATTACTGCATTGGATGAATGTGTTCTATTCAGAGAGCTGCTATCCTATTTCATAGGATTTCTATATGACACCTATCTAGGGATAAATACTTCTCATGGCATAAAAAGTTAGCAAAAAGCTCTCTACGAGACCTCAGGTAAAGTGCTTTCTTGGATTTCTAGTAGGTTAAAACGATCATCCATCACTGCTATACCAACTAGCACTAACAGTTCCTATTGTCCCAGTTGACACGCTGCCGTAAAGTATTAAGTTCCTGAAAAAGAAGGTGACACTGCAGAGCTCTCACAAATGACCTGGTGGCAATGATCTCAGCTCTGGTGAAACCTGTAAGGAAAAATGTCATGACAGATGTTACCTGGCCTCACAGTTCAACAAGGACCCCACTTCCCAAGGAGTCACTTGAGAACACACATTCATTTCCCTTGGCATTTTTTCCTTTAAATAGTCTGGCTTGAGAGAGGAAACATGGAATTTTAAAGTCCTGGCTCTATTAGCTCTAATGGACTAAAGCAGAGACTAGAACGGGCTAAGGGTATGGCTACAGGAGGCAGGGGTTTAGCCCACCACAGGGGTCTGGCCCTGAGGAAGACACAGGTATGTGTAGGACCAAGGGCAACCTGGGCCCTTCTCCAGCTCCACTCCAGAGTCACTGGACGGTCACTTGTGGTGTAAAGGGTGGCAAGAATACTTCCTTCCAACAGGACCTAACAAATAAAACATGTTAGTCTCGAGAAGTAGTCTTACAGGGAAGTTACACTGTGAGAAGATAAGACAAAATCGTGCACTGTTGTTTTCTTATAAGAGTTGTAGAATGACAGTATCTGTCTTGTTAACTGAATCAGTATTCCTATCCATTCTGCTTCCCACAGGTAAGGGAAGGGGCCAGAGAGTGTCGATGTCTCTCTCCTTTTCTGACATCAAACTTCTTGACAGTAAGTGACTCAAATATGAGTCAGATAAGTGGGTTATTCCAAAAGTTCACACAAATATTGTCACATATGACAATATAATATGACAGGTATTCCAGTCTCATAATAGCCAATTATATTAACTCCACACTTAAGGGACTCTGATGATTAAATGAATCTTGTCAATCAAAACACAGCTTAAATTCTTCCACAGTGGCTACCCCTAGCCAGTGAACTTTCCTTAAGAAATTACAGCCAAATTTTATTTTGACTAATACAGGTTTTTGTTCATTTGTTTGTATTTTAACTTGAAGTCTGGTGTGCTAGTTTTTAGTGTCAATTTGACACAATCTCGAGCCACATAGAAGAGGGAACCTTGGTTGAGGAATTACCTGTATCCGAATCACCTGTGGGCATATCTGTACAGAATTATTACGATTGCTGATGTAGGCGGGCCCAGGCCACTCATGGGTGGTACCATGAGTGAGCTAGCAAGCAGCCTTCTCCCATAGGTTCTGCTTCTGCTCCTGTCTGAGCTCCTGCCCTGAGTTCCCTCAATGACTAACCTGGAACAAAGCTTCTCCTTCTCAGTTTGCTTTTGGTCAGAATATTTTAACCCAGCATCAGCCAAGAAAGTACAATAGCTGGTAATGGCATGTATGCTTTACCCTGGCAATTGTAGTTGCTAACAGCACACATGCTTTACCCTAGCGACACAGAAGGCTCAGAAAGTGAGCTTCTTCTCCTAAGTAGATGGTTATTAATGTTTTAATGTTTATTTATGTTTTTTTGCTTTTTTCTTTCTGTTTTTGTTCACTTGTTTGTTTTGTTTTGAGACAGAGTTTCTCTGTGTAGCTATGGCTGCCCTGGAACTCACTCTGTAGACCAGATTGGCCTCAAACTTCCAAGTGCTGGAATTAAAGGCAGGTACCACCACTGCCTGGCTTTATTTTTAAAAATATCTTCAAACTAAATAAAATCGTATTTTCTATCTCCTATGTAGGCTAAAAGTCTGTGCCATTAGAGAATTGAGATTACACCATTGAAGACCCATGTGACAGGCTTCTATTCCAGTATCTTACAGCAATTAGCCTGTGTATTTTTCATAATGAACACTGTAGCAACAAAGGCAAAATGTTCAGAACATTAAACGGCATTCCCAAAGTGAACAATTTGTATACTGTGATAAAAGTTTCATATGCTGTCGTATAAATATACATCAGTCAAATATGCATGTTTCAATTAATCATGAAAATTGGTACCACCTCGTTAGCATTTAATTAAGGAAAATGTTGGTAGCATTTTCTTTCTAATCTAATATTCAGAGAGCTACAAGACACTTCTGTATTGTATATTCAGAAGTAAAAGTCCAGATTAATAACTCTAAGGTGGAATAAAAATTGTATTTAGTTTTTATAGTATAGAGAAGGATGAGATGGGGTGTTTCTGGAGGGCCTCACTGAAGTGGATTGAGCAA